TTCTCTAATAATATTCATCAGACAGCTAGCTTTCCTCTTTTCTTAGTGTACCAGTGGATAATTTGCTAATGATCTTATTTTACTCTTCAGGGAGCGGAATTTTCGCCGTCTCCCCAAGAGCAAGGGGTATAATAGCTGAAACTGCTGCCGCAGTTCAGGAAATGAGTGAGCCTGAGGTATAAAGAAGGTGATTTGGGAGAGCGAGTTTTCTTCATGTCAAGGGGAGCTAGGTGTATAAAGTACTTACTTTCAAAATGCCTGTGACTCTGCGTCTATTCTATTAGAGTGGGGCTTCAGTTAGCAAAAAAAAAAAAATTGAATTTTTTTTCCAGTTGAAAAATGGGTAACAAAATATGGAAATAACCAGGCTGACTGATTTTAGTTTAAGAAAAACGCACAGCAGAAAACCCGAATATTTGAAAACCAAATCATGCGCAACACAAGTGTGTGATAATCAGTTACTTTGTTTTGTGGCAATAGGGTACATACAGTATTGCCATGAGCACGTCCCTGAAGTGTAGAGAGTCCCCTTGTTCCTGGTGTTTTGTGAGCTGGTCAGTCTCACAGGTCTGTGTTCTCAGGCCACGGTGTTTCAAGAGCTGAAATCATAGAATCGTTTCAGTTGGAAAAGACCTTTAAGATCATCAAGTCCAACCGCTAACCTAACCCTGCCATTCCACCACTAAACCATGTCCCTAAGCACCTTGTCTACCCGTCTTTTAAATATCTCCAGGGATGGGGACTTGACCACTTCTCTGGGCAGCCCATTCCAATGCTTGACAACTCTTTTGGTGAAAAAATTTTTCCCAATGGCCAACTTACACCTGCCCCGGTGCAATCTGAGGCCATTTCCCTTCATCCTATTGTTTGTTATCTGGGAGAAGAGACCAACATCCACCTCACTACAACCTGCTTTCAGGTACTTGTAGAGGGCAGTAAGGTCACAAATCTGCTGCCATGCGAATGCCGTAAGGTGGAAGCGCAGCTCGAGCAGGTGGTGCTGAAGTGCCATGGTACAGCTGTGTAGCTGCTCTCCAGCTTGGGGTGAAGGTTACTTCCAGTGCCTGTCTCGGTATTGCTTTCTGTTCCAAACCTGGCCACTTGTATCATGGGGTGGCAGACCTGGTACGTGCGATTGTGCTGTTCATTTGAAAAGGAAAGAGAAAAACAGAGAAAATGCCACCTCCATGGTAGCCAATGGGAGTTCTGCCATAAATTGGAGCAGGGCCAGGATTAGGCCATTTGCTGCTTATAGCCAGTAAAAGAGCAGAACTTGCATACTCAAAATAAGATGTCTCTTTTGTCTATTTGCTAAAAAATGTCATCACCTACTATTGGAAAAAATACATCCCTCCTTTCTTTGTACTTAAACATTTTGTTTAATTTTTTTCGTAAGTGAAAATATAAAGCCTTTCAGTAACTTCCTTCTGTAGAGTAATTCATTTTTTGTGCCTTTCTAGTACAGCATCAAACAGGACTTCATTAGTGGTGTTAATGTTCCATATAGCCCACTGATATACCATAGCCACTGGCCAAGCAAAACTTCAATCAGTTTTTCTTCTCTTGTCAGCTCACACCTCTGACTGAGCAGCTGCAAGATGATTCATCAGAGAATGTTTCACCATAGGACAGAGAAAAATTATTTCTGGCTGCTTTTCCCATAGTAATAAGATAATTGCAGTTGTAGATACTTTTGCAGCACTTCCTGAGCCATGCTATGCCCATTTGAAAATAGAAATCCTTTAATCCAAATGTCAGGAAAATTTTCCATGAAATCAGTGCTTTGGCTTGGCAAAACACATTTCTGCGGTGTTTTCTTGCTTAACAAAGTTGTGACAGTTATTTTGTCCCATTACAGAGCAAGTCTTTACTAGAATTAAGGTTCAGTATTAGCTGGGAGATTTAGAACAAAATTCTGTGCATAAGGAACATCTGTATTGTGAAACCCACTGGCACGTGCCTTTGAAGTCAGTGGTGAGGAGAATGGGTTTGGATTTCTTTTGTTTGCTGCAAAAATCATGTAAGGAGTAATGGATTATTCATCATTGGTGCAGCAATGGTGTTCCAATACAATGGTTTCAGGCAAACAATCTGTCAAGAACAGGACATTTCTTAAAGACCAACAGTGTCTTCTGTCCACGCTTTTTATGATAGGCTTTCATACGTAACGCCACTCAACTTTGCATGCAGCTGTAACAAAACCAGAAGAATGTATTTCTTTGTTTATTGGCATCTGTAAAAGCATTTCATCCCAAGTAGTGTTTCTTGTGATATAGGTTTGTCAGGTAGTTGGCAAATAAATATAGAAAAGCTGCTTTTGTTGTCAGTTTACCAATACTGATGTGACATTCAAGGCTTGTTTTTCCTGAATAATCAGTAAGTGAGTTCATCTGAATGCACTCAGCCTGTGCCAGCAATACTGTGCGTACGATTATAAGGCTTACAGATTCACAAATAAATTGTTCTGCAGAGAGGAACACAGGCTTTCTTTAATTCATATCTGCTACTTTGACCTAAGTAACACTCTTTTCTCCACATCATTGCCAATAAATACATTCCACTTTCCCAAAGAAGAAATACATGCCATCCAGTGTCTTAATGCACGTTATTAAGTAACAGGTATGAAGACTCATATCAAGCCTGAGCAACAGCTCTTCTCTTTCAGCCTCTGAGTTTACATGCTTCATTGATTCTCTAGGGCTTGTAGCTTTGGCCAAGCCCCACATGTTATCTTGTACTGACCAGGTGATCCCAAGCATTTAGCACGGTCACTTAGGTTCTGTTCTGCCAGGCAAGCTTTCTCCCAGGCGGCATATTCCCCAGTGGTAAGGGAACTTCTAGGTTGTAGTCCTTTCTTCTTTTCCTTTCCTTTTTCTTAAGTAATCTGCGGGTATGTGAGTGAATAGCAGTAGATAAGGCACAGACCGCAAACCAACCTTTTCTCACTACAGTAACATAATTTTCATTGATCTTCCTCTGATCTCTCAAGCACCTCTGAGGTCTCACCGGCTCCTGGCTGCTCACAAGAAAAAGGCCAGAGTTTATACTGATTTAGAGAGACACACACTGAACAGCGGAAGGTTGTAAAGGTTTGGCATTTCTCAGTCCTGCAGCAGGACTACTTAGATGATTTTCCTGGAATTCATAGTGAAGTTGAAAATTCTGCGTTTTAAACCACTAGAGACTTATGACAATTTGTGATGCACGTACACCAGGTGTGCCCTGTCAGAGAGACTGTTGATAGAAAATCAGACTGAGACACAATAATGAAAATTTCTAATGAAATTTTTCCAGGAATCTGTAAAGCTTTTAACAACAAATTCACTCATGATATGGTTGTACGGTTATTCCAAAGAGATTCCAAGAGAAGTTATTTGGCACATCCCACCTACCCCCTGGCATGTATAAGAAAAATGCAAATCAAAACCAAATGTGGGTGAGTGAGCAATACTTACAGTTTATGCAGGTGTCCCCCATGTACTTAATAATTTTCTTACCTTCAAATGTGTAACAAAGTGGTTTTGATGGATAAGGAACCTTGGTTTTGTTTAAAGTTTGTGTTTCAATAGATTTCATGAGAGACTAGAGTGAGTATTTCCTTATCTATGCACACATTAGTATTCTCAGAAAAGAGATTTGTTCCCTTATTGCAGCTCACAATTGATTTTCTTAGCAAGTTTACACTTTCTGCTATGAAAATAACAGGTGACATATATGGGAGCTAACAGGGACTGTGGGCAGAATTTTGACACATATTACATATATCTCCGGGGTCACATCACACCTCTTCTTCATATTCGCATCCCAGAGGATACTGGATCAAGTGCTGAGGTACTTTTAAGAGTTTGAGTCTTAATTTGTTATTTTAATTTGGCCAGGATGGCCAGTATGTTGAGGGTTTAGTTGCTATTCAAACTCAAGGCAGGGGACAGGGAGGTGAGAGCTTTTTGTTTCTGAAGGCAGTTTGCACATGTTGTGTCTCCTCCTGTGCTGCTTCCATAGGCACAAATAGATATGTCACCCCTGGTATAAAACACAGTGATAATGTGATGAATCTGATAAAAAAAGGACATGTTTTTATCCCTGTTTGACTCCATACTCCTGATAGTCCCTAACTGTTAACAACACTTGTACTCTGGGACCAATTACTCCTTAATACGCCTTACTGCGTAACTGAAGGCACTGGAAATGAACATGTCACAAAGTCCTCTGCATCTCCGCTGAGTCCATGAGCTCAGGTGCCTGCAGAACGTGCTTTGGTGGATTTTGGATCTAGCGAGTGCATCCAGAAATCCATTCTGTGGTGAGTTGTTACAGTAAAGGTTAGTCAGTGGAAATTGTTCTTTTAAGAAACACATGTCCCAAATGAATTATCAGGAGGAGTAGAATGTGTTGCATTTCATCTTTAGGGTCTAAGCATTTGTTTGGAATCCCAGCTGCTCTTTTTGGTGGTGCAAGAGGAGACTGCAGTTAGTTATGCTGAGAGCCAGAGGAGCCGGTGTAAGTCCACAGGAACTACACGAGACAGAGGAGCCCTACTAACCTAAAATCGGTGTCACCAAGAGCATAAGCAAGGACCAGAGTGAATATTTAGTATTTGAATATTTAATATTTTGATGTGCCCCTAGAATCTTTGTTTATCAGGCAGCCTGCACTACTCAAAGGGTTAACATTATTTGAACTGGGATCTAATTCCTTTCTTCATACTGTGGGCAGCTTACACAGATGTCAGATTACCTATCATGTATTGTGACAAAATGAGTTGCTAACAGAAAATTGGGATTAGCAGAACCTCCACTGTTAGCAGGGCCAATGCCATTAGCAAAAGTCATGGGAATGATTCAAAACTTCTTCTCTGGATAAATCTGGAAATTCAAGTGTCAGTAATCAAAATACTTCCACGAAACCCAGAAATACCAGAGACCTTGTTCTTCCATCAGATGAATATAACAATTTTCTCTGTGTGAATTTTCTCCTTTTTTGTTGTTCTTACTAAACAGACATCGATGAATGCTCAGATGGCTTTGTTCAGTGTGACAGCCGTGCAAACTGCATTAACCTGCCTGGTTGGTACCACTGCGAATGCAGAGATGGCTACCATGACAATGGGATGTTTTCACCAAGTGGAGAATCCTGCGAAGGTCAGTATCTAAAAAAAGTGGGGTAGTCTTATGACTTGCATTACAGTCGCGTCTAGTGTCTCTGACTGTACGGGTCAAGTATTGTCTTGGACACTGTATCAATGAAAGTGAAACCTTGACCCAAAACAATCATCATCTAAATAAGCATCGTAAACAAAAGGCACAAGAAAATAAAAGCATGAATATTCCTAACATATAGGTGGAGTGTTAGTGGCCATTTCTATGGTGTGCTAAGATAATACATGAAGTCAGGCATGGTGCCTGAAACACGGTTTCTCTGGCCCTACATCTGCTTCTGTGCATGGTCCTTGCATAAGTGATTTCCTGTGGGCTGATACCATGCACTGTAACCTGTCATTCCACAGTAATCTGTTCATGTGTCAGATTCTTTATACGTAGAAATGGGCCTCAGTCCAGACCTCAGTCCCTCCACTTCATTCCTTGTATACTGAAATAGTCTGTGAGGAAAATATTTCCCACTGCAAAGAATGATTATGCAGCCCTGACACCCTTACCCCCACCTGGGATAATGCTGCGGTGCTTCTCCTGTGCATAGGGCTAACTGCTTGTAGAAAGCTGCAGAGGAGCAACATTACAAACTGGGAAGCTCTGTTGACTTTGGATTGGGGCGAGGTGCAGGGGACAAGAGAGTGATGGGGGGACAAGGAGGTGGGAAGGTTTTATTTGTTCCTGAATGATGTTAGAGAGAAAGCAGGTTAGTAAGAACACAGTTCTTTTCAGGTGCAGATCTCTTAGTGTGGAATGTTATTCAGCTCTTAAGGTATTGTATGCTGCTGCTCTTAAATAAGAGAAGAAAACAGTCTGTTTTGCCATGGACTACTTAGGGCAAAATTAGGAGAAGGGAGAACCCTTCTGCCTCTGAGTGCTGAAATATTCAGTGCTCACACACTGTAAGCTTCCCTACCTTGCTGCTTCATCTCACATTGGTGGTCTGCATCGGTCCCAAAGGGAAGCAATTGAATTAATTTCACTAAGGCAGACACACAGACAGTTCTCCGGGAGCGAGAATGACCTTTTCGGTATCCCCATCATCAATACTTTATTTCAATACGTTTTCACCATAGCTGAAAGCCTGCATTCCCAAGAGGAAACAGTGATTTGAGTCAGCCACTGCTTTCATAAGTCGAGCTTTCTTTGTCAAGAACTAACTAAATGTCAGTGTTAGCTGGCCAGGTGTTAGGACAAGAAGGTGCAAAGAAGAAGTTGTGATCCCTCTGATTATAACATTGCCCTTCTGTCACTCGCAGTATAGGTAATACTCTAGCCAGGCACTTATGGAAATACTCTCAATACCCTAAGGTTTATCTTCAGTGTCAATATAGCATTTGTCTCGTGGGTTGAAGATAGTAGTTTGGCACATGCTATCTCAAGAGATATAAGTGATACAAAGCGACTCTGTTAAGATGTGTGCAAACAAGCAACAATTAAGCAGCAATTTCTAAGCAAATGAAAAGCCAAGGAAAAAGAAATAGGGGGATTGCTACACGTATGCAGAAGTGGCAATTATTAGAATGTTTTGACCTTTTCTACAAAGCGCCAGCAGCTCTTTATTAAACATACTCAGAGGATAACAAGTAATTAGAATTAAATCACAGATGCCAGGAAACTTATCTTCATTGCTGATAACCCTAGTCACTAACGGTGGAACACTTTCAGTTTGATTGATTGCAGCTCCAAATTTTGGAATACATAGCAACTTGAGGAGGAAGGTTAGGTATTTTATTAGTCTCAGTACATCACTTTTTATTGGATTGAAGCCTGTGACATTGTGTCTTAGACAGAAGACAAAACCTGAAAAAGGTATGAAGAGACAGGCTAAAATCCATTGGAGTATGGAAAGTTGGACTTCCAGTAGCAGAGCGCAGTAGCGCAAAAGCAATTGGTTTCTCTGCTGTCAGATCTTTCCACTGTGAGAGATTCCCCTACCGGGTTTAAAGACATAAGAAAATGGATTTCTTTTGTCACTTCTTCAGTATCCCCTAGTTAGAGGAGATTAGATTGAACTGTTGGTGGATGGTCTTTTAGACACTCACGGTAATGGGGGAGCAGCTTCCAGGCTATACTAATCTCAGGTTTCAAATCTCAGTTCTCCACTTCCCACCTGCAGCTGTATGAGCTTCCTGCTGCAGCTGGGACCAGTGTCCTCTGAACCTTTCTGGCTTGTGCAAATGCCACGGCTTGCAGAACTGTAGAAGGAACAGTGCTGAATTACACTGAAGAGAAACTGGGCCTGCACTGATTTCTTTCTTAGGGGAACAAAGAATTTAAACCTCATGGGAATCAGGAAATGTTCTTCGAGGGCTTGTCCGTTTTGCTTTCTAAGAGGACTACTTCAAAGTAGTGTATATATGGAGTGCATAATAGCCTTGTCTTTGGCTTTGTAAGTTTTAGTTGCTTTGAAGAAAGTTCCCTCTTTCAGTGGAGAAAACCTTTAAAAGCCAAGGAAGCGTGGGTTCAAATCTTTTCTTTCTTGATTGTTCTATACGGTCTGCCTCAAATCTGGGTCTGTCTGTGTCCCCTGGACATGTGCTGACAGTACTGCAGAAAGCATTTCTGTGATCAGCATTAGTCAGAAACTTGTTTCCTTCAGCAAAGGCTCCAGTTTTAAAGATTCAGGTGGAAACCTCTCTTAAGATCACAGAAGCACAGGAGCATTTCTTCCTTAAAAACCTGATTTTAGCAGAATACCAAAACTGCACCCACCCCTTTTGCAGGAAATGGTCCCATCAGGACATCGTACTAAAAAATCCTAGCTAGAGGTGGACTCCTTGGTGGGATTGGACTTTTTCAATGCTTGATAATGAAATAATAGTTACTGAATTTCCTGTTTTACACATATATTGACCTTGGCTAATGCTGCTTCTTTGTCACGACTGAGAATATTGAGTATTTTGACTAATGTACTTGAACGCAGAAATTCATAATCCCATTTTATTGTATCTACAGGCAATGGAAGACCTACAGATTCCTTTGCTATTAGTTTTGCTTCACATTATACTCCTAGGTAGACCTGTGGTTTCTATAACAATTACCGAGAGAAATGATGGGAAATGCAGCTGTAGGGCTTCAACCTCTTAGCAGCACTTGCTGCTTTTCCCTTGGAAATAGAATTATGTTATGCATCATCTTATTTCCAGAACAGTGGTGAAAGATCAGCTGCTTAGTCTTGGAGAACTGCATGGCTTTGGGAAGTCTTAATTTTTATATGTATGTAAATATAGCATTCAGCATGGTATATTACCTGGTACCTTCATCTTTGGCCCCCCTAGAGCTTTTCTTTATAGTTTCTTTACACAGTCTTATTGGTGCTCTGAAGCTTGTCTCTCATGTGCCATTTCATAAAAGAGAGCTGGGCTAAGGCAGTAGATATTGCAGCCTCAAGCTTCATTGCATTAAAAAACTGGAGCCACTGAGGGCAAAATCCTAAAATAAGAATGTTCAGGCCCAGTTAATATTTGCTTTGCAGTTCTTTGTAAGATCTCGATTCCTTTGAATTTGTCTCCTGCAATGTCTAAAAGCTTCCAAAATCAGTTGAAGAGAGAAGCTGTATTGGTTTGTACCAGAATAGTGCGGGTTATACCTCATCAGCTGTTGGACATTTTGTGTACTTCGGCGTCCGAAGAATAGCTCACCTAATTAATGCAGCCCCTTGGGACTTACCAAGATTATCTGACAGGTACCAGCTGTTGTTGATACAGAATATAAGATCAACATACCTTCACTCTCAGCAGGTACCGCATTCTTTAAATGAGGCAGGTGCAAATGAAAGGATCGGAAAGCATCAATCCAGGATGCCCAATTCAAAAAGGGTCTTTTCAATTGCAAGGCTTTATTTGTATGTGTGTTTTCTGAAATGTCATGATGTTCTTCTTCTGCTGTCCTGCTTGCAGAAGTAGAATCACTTCCTTCTCTGTGTGATAGAGCGGGCTGCCTGACAACACAGAGGGCTGGGGCTCTGCCTGAACAATATTTTCCACAGTTTAGGATAATGAGGGATGGAGGCACATTACAAGCCTCAGGATGCTCCCCAACCTTAGTGAATGAACAAAGTCCAAAATGGTCACTTCAGCATCCATGTCTCTGGATCTGAAAGGCCGAAGAATTGCTGTCTGTCAGGGTGTCTGAATTTATCTCACAGTACATCCAGTATTTTAACTAGTACATGAAATTTCTTGTAGTTGAAAAACTGCTGTCAGTTCAGAGTCCTACACTTAGATCTTTCTACAGTGCTGGTAATGTTTAACAGAAGCTTTGTTATTGATAGCACTTAAGGAGAAAGAAAATAAAGAATCACATGATCATAAAAGGTCAACAAATAAAACCAAAAAGGTCAACAAATAAAACCATAAAGTGACTTTTTTTCTATCCATCCCAAAGAGAGCTTTAGGCATTAAGGCTTCATTACTGAGTTTGGGAATGCAACTTAAACATCACCAGACAGAAGGCAGGTATAGAGACAGAGTAGTATTTAAATATTCTGGAGTGTGGGCAGAGTACAAAATTGGCAGGGTTTCTCATCTTTTATAAAAGGACTAATAAAACAGAAACTCGACCGCTATGTTTTATAGGACAGTAATTTGAACACATTTACTGTATCAGGAAACAACATTTCTGTGAAGTTGGTGTTACTGGCATCTGAAGTCTCAGCTCTTCATCTTCCACATCTGCTAAGCACTCTGACAGCTGGCTTGCACAAAGTCATGAATAAATGATTCACAATGCACTTGCTCTTTGGAGAATGATTACATCAGACAATAGATTTACTTAGGACAGAGAAGAACAGAAAACAAACTTACTGCTCAGAAGAGCTTGAGCTCCCTATCAAATGCACTCCTTCCTGTTTTGCCTTAAGCAAAAAAGTATTCAGGTATCCTCACCTTGCCACCTTGCTGAGCTAATGCTACTCCTCAGAGCTAAGGTAACATATTTCTCAGCGATAGAAATGTTCATCTTTGCTTTACATAGATAACACTCTAACTGATAGCAGAATGATTCTGGCAGGAAATCATGTCTGAGGGAGACCTTTGGGAGGTTTACATGAACGTCCTGCACCTAAGTCTGGATAGCTCATCAGAGGAGGGAAAGTCGCAATTGTCCATCAGCCGTATCTCAGCCCTTTGCCACTACTTAGCAAGGTGTACACAGGTTATTTTCTAATTGTGTCTTGTTCATGTTCCTTGTGAGTTTATTGCAAGTTTTCTTATCTGTCATTATCAATATTGTATTTGTGCTTTTTTGCCCAAAATACTATTGAGCTGTCATTATTTAGAGCTATCCACAGTAGCCCCAAGGTCTCCTTCCAGAATAGATCCAAAAGACTGATTTGATTTTTGAATAGGTATTTCCCCATGTGCCTCACAGTTGCATCTCATCTGACATATTATTGTTTACTCAGTCAATATTGTGAAGTAATTCTATATTTCACTGTCAATTTTTTGGTTTTAATCCTTTCTTATCAACAGTCTTTTTCATCTCGCTATTCATCCATTCCTCCAGATGACTAAGTATATTGGGCAGCACACATTCTGGCACAGATTCTTGGGCAACTTCCCTGGGAGAACTCTCCATTGTGACAGCCTGAGTGTTTATTTCTGTCTTTTATTACTTGCTAATTAACCTGCTATTAATCTGTGAGTGAGTGCCCTCTTATTCCATGGAACATAGGTCCTTTAAGAGCGTATATTATGCAAAGGAGCTCATGATGTTTTCAAATAAAAATAGTACATTATAGGAAATGTATCCCCCCTTTAAAGTCTTTTTCATTAATATAGGATACGATTACTCTGAATCTATAACACAGTATCTTTAAACAATCTTCTTTCTGTTTGAAAACATTTTACCCTTTTGGCCACTAGTTTTAATTCATCTTTAAAACTTCATCATTTTAACGTAATTCCCCCTTTGAAAATAAAAACACTACCACAGAGATTTTTTTGCAGCCTTTTAAATTCCTTTAAGGATGTTGAACTTGCGTACCTTGTGGTCACTGTTGGTAACCAATATAGAGGAGCTGTTCAGTAGAGACATTTTGAATCAGAGCCTGCACCCTGCTCAGGGCCAAGTCAAATGGTGCTTTGTCCCTTTGGGATTCTTTTACTATCTATTCCAAGAAACAGTCAGTAAATCTGTTAAATACAGCTTTGGGTCACAACCTGGCGGGGCCATTGAAATTCCTGTATTTCTGGAGTTTTCTGCCCTTGCAGTCTGGCAAGTATTACAAATGGAGTTTAGTCATTCCAGGTATTGTCAACATTTTATATGCTTTAGTCCGGTATTTTTCCCATGTAGGCATCAAATTATTTGTGATAATTAACTCCTAGCTTTCTTTAACATGTATCACTACTTCTACATCCATGGTACTCCTTTGTCATTGCAATATTAATTTGTGCCCAGGGATGATGTTAAGAAAAGGAAAATCCTTAAAAGTGTGCCAGATCAAAGCTGCTCCGATTTTTAGTGTAGGTTAGATAAATAAGAACTGGTCCTCAATTTAGCACTGGGTAACTAGTTACACTTTGTTGCTGTTTTTTTTCTGAGGCAAACCTCCAAGTCCTTTGAGACTTAATGTTCTAGTATCATAACATTCAAGCTGCTTGATTCCTAAGCAGTGTGTTGTAAATAGCCTGAAGTGAATTATTTGTTGGGGTTTTGGTTTTTTTCTTTGGGGGGGGAGGGGGTGGTGGTGGTGGTGTTTGAGGGGTTTTTTAAACAACATGGGAGAGAGAATAACATGTCTCTGTGGCTGGACATACTGGCAATATGCAACCTGTAATCCTCTCCCTTTTTCAGACACAAAAGTTGCATGGGCCAGTGTAGCCTGTCCATATCATTATGGAAGTTGGAGAGCTGGTTATGGCTGTAAACAAAACATCAGTAACAGAATTCGCCATCCATTATAAATCCATAGTAAAAAAGCTGAACAAAGTTTAGCTTGGTATGGATTATTTGTGTGCAAGTTCTTTGTAGATAATGCCTGAAGTTCGATGCAGATGAATAATGCAGATGAGAATTTCATGCATGCAAAGTTTGTGTTTGTCTTGCTGCGTTGTAAACACACTGCTGTTTCTGATTAGGTTAGAATCAAAGCCTAAATAGCTCCTGCTTTGACCAGGGATATTTAAATTGCCCTATCCAGGGTATTTATTTTCATGAATCAAACAACTGAAAAAAAATGAGGTTGGTATTTTTCATAAGTTCTCAGTGTTGGATAAGCTAGGCTCAATACCAGAGTCAATGATGAAACCTCAATTATTTTCAGTAACAGTGCTCTATCCATGACCATGTTGAAAAACAAACCCCAGAAGCCTTTTCCTCATGGGAAAATTTTGAAATACGCTTGTACATAAGTGCCAAGTGCAGACTTAGTGTTTATAGGGTCACCGTTTGTTGTTTAAAGGAAACTGATCTTAGTTACATGACAGCTGAACTTCGTCCAAGTGTCTCATTAAATATGGCTACTTTCAGTTAAGTGGCCAGGTTGTTGAGAAGTGTTATTATTCATTTATGACACTAGCTACTTGAAAGCTTTGTACAAAAGAGTGTTTTAAACAAAGGAACACAAGTGTCAGAAGGTCATTTATTAAAAATTACTTCAATGATAAAGAGACTTCTGCCATTAATCATTACATTTAAAAAGGATTTGTATTTGTTCTCTTTATTGCATGACTTAAAACAAGTTAGACTGAGTTTTAAATTTTAAATTGCCAGATTATATTATGTTCAGTATGGATTTAAGAGAAAACAGAGAAAGGAGAGAGCAGCTCTTCCATCCCTCTGCTCTTCCTATATCAGCATCACTCACACCATTCCCATTAGCTACGTGTCTAAAAAACTTCAAGGCTGGAGATTGCACAGCCTCCGCAGGGCTGTCTGTTCCAGGAATTATGTATCCATACTGTTCAGATGTGTTTCCCTGGCTGATGTGCCTGTACGTTTCAGCTGCTCAGGGCCATGCAAACAGCCACGCGGAACTAGGTTCATGATCCCAGTTGTCCTCTGGCCTATTGCAACAGTGGCTGACTCCAGATGCTTCAGGAGGTAGCAAGGTAGAAGATGTGGAGATCTGAGATGATTTGCCTGTTCTGGATTGTCTGATACCTAAATAAAGGCACCATAGACCCTAATGCATGAAATGTAATCTCTCTTCCAAAATCTGTTTGCATTGCAAATTGAATTTGAGCAGCCTGATCTAGTGGAAGATACCCCTGCCCATGGCAGAGGGGCTGGAACTAGATGATTTTTAAGGTCCCTTCCAATCCAAAGCATTCTGTGATTCTACGAACATTCTTGCTAGCTTTATACACTTTTGGCTACACTATTTTCCTCCCCGTTGGCACTCCCTGGCGGTGAGTGTCATGGTTTGTTTATGCATTATATAAAGAATTATTTCCTTTTCTCAGACTTAAATTTCTTGTCTTTAAGTTTCATTCATTGCCCCCTGTCTTGTGTGTTAGTCAATATGGAGAACAAAAGCTCTCAACGTGTCTTCTCTGGAGTATTCATTATATTTTTTTGTTATATCCCTTCTTGCTGATGTTCTTTAAGAGATGAACAATCCATTTCCTTTCAGTTCTTCTCAAATGACATTTTCCTCATCCTTCCCAGAAGCCCTTGTAATTTTGCAATACTTTTTTTTTCTTTGAGATAGGGCCGCTGTTATTGCACACAGTATTTGAAGGAAACCCACAATGCTGCTTATTTATACAATGGAATTCTAATAATTTCCCTGCTGTTTTTCATCCCAATTCATATTCATGTTAGCAACTTGTTTACTTTTTTTTTGACTGCAGCCACACTTGGAATTGAAATGATAATTGAGTTATTTTGCTTTAAACTGAATGTGCTTGAGGTGAATTGGAGGTTTCATTTCCATTGTTGAACCCTAAGCTGAGTGTTTTATTAAGTTTTTATGCTGATGGTGAAAGCTACATTCATGACCATATTGCTTATTTTGTCTTGTACTGATCTGTTAGACAGTTAAATATCACAATGCTACTTTTTAATGAATTCTAATTAAAAGCTTGGGCCAGACTGTTGTGAAATTGTATGTAGAATTGAACTCTTCTAGTGTTTTCCACTTTTTATCGCTTATAGCTGTTTACTGCATGCCCTTTCAAAGCTTTTTTCCCAGATAACTTTTCTTCATCTGGACAGCTGAAAAAACTAAATAAAGACACTCTTCAGGTAGAAGTCAGTGTGTGCTGCTAGTTTGCCCTTAAAAAGTAATTGTGTATGTCTTGATGAAGTAGGCCTTTAAAGGTACTCTTGAATTCTTTGAGGTATGATTGTTTTGAAGTCATTTACCTGTATTGTCTGGAGACATTAATTTTTTTTCTTTATTTTCTATGCGAGACACAAGGGCTATAGATGTCACTGCAACTTGAATAATGAAAATATTCTAGTTTGCACACCCTAATAAATGATGCAGCTTAAAGCATGGTGCACTTGCTTAAATGAGCTTACAGGTCGACGTCACCTTTCACATTAACTTCTCAGGAAATGAACTCAAATGTGGGAGACAGAGCCAGCAAAAGGTTTTGAAGACAAGATTCTGCAGCTTTTCATGTTTAATTGCATGTCTCATGAATGGTTGCCACAAACTAATGCTCTTTAGGGAGCGGAGAATTATTTTCATTCATAGTTTTGTGCAATTTCTTCATTCTGACTACCTTACTGAATAGCATTCACTTAGAAAGATGTATAGGAAAACTCAAAATGCCATATTTTAAAAGTTGATGTGACCTGAAAAATATTTTTGTGAACTTGTAAGTTATTTCTCCCTGTTCTGGTGAAGTGCAAATTAATTTTCAGCTGAAGGCTTTAATGGCCAAGGATCATTTATATTGACTGCCGCAGGAACATTTTTGTTAATTGAATGTGGTCTAAGAGCATTACCATGGCATGTTTTTGCAGACATTGATGAATGTGGAACTGGAAGGCATAGCTGTGCCAATGACACTGTTTGCTTTAACTTGGATGGTGGGTACGACTGTCGATGTCCCCATGGCAAGAACTGCACAGGAGACTGTATCCATGAAGACAAAATCAAGCACAATGGTCAGATTTGGGTTCTGGAGAATGACAGGTGCTCTGTCTGCTCATGCCAGGTCAGTAGAAATAGAACTGGCTGCTTCTGCAAGAAGGCGGTAGGGCTGAAGGGAAGAGTGTCGTGATTCAAGCTGCCTTCTGATGTGTGAGTGTGGTGCTACAGAAAAATGGAATTATATATTATATATGGGTTTGGGGAGAGCTTCTCTTTCCAATCTGCACAAGCAGAACTTCCATGGGAGGTTTATTATATGATACTGGAAGAAGGACAATAGTAGTATTTCCTTAGCAGAGATGCCACCTGTGTTTTCTGGGTGGGAGTAATGGCATTTTCACGCAAAGAAACTGTCTGTCTAGACACATCTTGGCGTTGGTGACTGACGCCGGTATCTAGCAGATGGCTATAAATAGAAGTAGCTTCTGTATCTGCAGAGTAATTCAGCTTAGTTTTCTCAAATGTTTGCTGTGGGAACCTTGATCCCAAGCTAAATGCTGATGGAGAAGGAAGGCTCAATACATTGCTGACAAAGTCCTGAGCATTTTAGCAGCTCAAGTTTCATGAGCATGAATTTAATTTCAGACTACCTATCATCATCCTTATGTGAATAATTACAGGAGAGAAGGATTGATCTGGAAGTTTAAAGCAAGGCTTCACTAGCATCCTTATGAGAATGACGTAAACCTAGAGCAATCCATTAAAACTTGACCCTTGGGAAAGACACCCTTGGGTTTCATCAACATAGGTGAGAGCTGCCTGAAGGTTGGTTGTATGGCGGGTGTATATAAGACAACAGGGGAATTTTTTGGTAGCTGCTGAGTGTATTGTGGTTTCTGCCTCTGTTTGAATTGTATTTTGGCAAAGATACTGTATAGTGGAAAAACTCGTGAGCTGCTAGTGGCCTAGAATCATGCCAAAAGATCAAATTTTGGTACACGTACTGCTGGAGTTGGTCACATTTCTGCCATTGCTCTATGCCTGTCTTCCAACAACAGAGTGGATATGTGATGTGCCGGCGAATGGTCTGTGACTGCGAAAATCCCACCGTTGACCTATTTTGCTGTCCCGAATGTGACCCAAGGCTCAGCAGCCAATGTTTACATCAGAGCGGGGAGCTTTCCTACAACAGCGGTGATTCCTGGATACAGAACTGTCAGCAGTGTCGCTGTTTGGTAAGGCTCCTGATTACAGCAGCATAGACGGCAGGGAGAAAGGATATGAGATATTCTGATCTGTGAATAGTTAATTTTCATGCATTAGCATCCACTTAGTTTCCTCTGGAGTATGTGTATAATCGAAATCTGGTTTTCATGGATCTTTGTCAGTATTGTCAAGTTCCTGTCAAAAATGCATTTTGCCACAATAGACATCATAGAAATTATTTAATCATGAAGATCATTTTAGCAAAGAACGGAGGTCATTTGGATATGGCACCTACACAGCAACACTCATGTATTCACTCATTCAAAGACCAGTGTAGCTATATAAGGAAATTCTAAATATGTATTTATTATTACAGTTGATATTTTCAAAGACGCCAATAGACTCAAATTCGTTTATTCCTTCAGCCATTCTGAGTAACAGAAAAAATAATAAAACTTGATGCATTTTTCAAAGTAGTGAAATGAGTTTGAGAAAAAAAAAAATCTTTTAAAGCTTGTGATCTTTTTCCTAGGCATATATTTCAGAGTCTGAGCAAAAACTATTCTGCATAATACCATTCAGGAAGTTTCGATGACATAAAAAATCCGAAGATAAAAACAACTAGCTTTTATCACAAGTTATCTCCAAATGTAAAGCCTAGTCCATCTAGCAGCTTTCCCTTGTCAGGGTATCATGAATAACAGTCAGAAACCAATTTTTATAGGCATTGTGCTTTCAGTGTTACTGCTACCAAAATCCAATGAAGTAGATTCCCAGGTGCTTCATTAAATGTCTTAAAACCAAAACAAAGCTACCTGCAGTTTGGCATCTCAATAGAGGTTTCTATTTTTTTTTTTTTCAAGACGCTACTTTTGTAACTGAAGCCTGCTTTCTTTCAGTTGTCAGGGATTTTTTGGGGGTGACAATGTATTGTCTACTCCTTGACTGCCCATCACTACAAAAAATAAATTGAGATATCAAGATCAGTGACTGGTTTTAAGATTGCTTTCATTCTTACCAGTATGTGATTCAAAAAGAGGAAAATTGACCCAGATGAAAACTTTGTAAAAGAGTAACTTCACACTACTTTCTGCAACAGGAGTAGTAAATTTGGAGCTATGGAAAAGCCCTGGGAACTTTTTTCAGCTTTTGCTCTGGAGATACTTAAACACATCATTCTCAAAGCCTTAGAGACAGTTTTTGTGAATAAGCTCCCTCCCTAGGGCCAAACGCTATTCTTTTTGCCCCCCTTGAATTCAGACCACTCAATCTGTGTTTCAAGTGAGCTGAGTAAGTTGGAGATGAGAGATGGACCTGCTCTGAAAGAAATATGCATCAATGATTTCTGTGATGTCTTTTTTTTTGACTAATAGATCTGAGACTTTGGCCCTTGTCCAAAGTTGAAAGGAAGCTGACCCTAAATTCTAGTAACTGAAGTGAATAATTAAACATCTTTAGATTTCCGTACAGGCATACAGTAACTTGCCCTGAGAATATTCTGGCCCAACACATGTCTCTCTTTTGACCTTTTGATACCTTGACTGTACTGAACCCATCATGCAGAAAGCGTGATGAAGTTTGGAAGTTCAGGTATTCTGACCATAACATCCCAAATGGATGGTAAGTGGGTGGAGGTCCTCTCACTGAAAGTCCACTGGTGTTCCCTGCTACGTTGGGCTGCTGGTGGCTTGACACCCGTAGTTCAGCCAATGCATTTGTAACCATGGCAAAGATAAACTCCAGCCCATCCAGGGATGAATGGGAGGGGTTTATGTGGCAAACCAACAGTCCTGATGGAAGGAAGAACTAGGTGAAACAGGAGATTTCAAAGCACTTTTGCAGTAGAGCCCTGTTATGGCTTCTGTCACTTGCAGAAGTAGGACTTCACAAGCACATATCCATATCTGTACTGCGTGACGTTTATGGAGAATTTTCAGCTGCAGCTTGGTGCAGAGTGTGCTGAAATAAGTTGAAACTAATAAGCTTCCTGAGTAGCATGCAGGAGAAAAAAGCACCCAACTTGCTGCATCTCCCACAGGCAGTGAATATCAGTGTTCTCTCCACTGACTTCTGAATAGGACCAGATGGATAAAATCAGCCCATTAAGAAACATAATGCTGAGTCAGAGGAACGGGTAATGAAACAAAGTAAGAGCTAATAATCATCTCTTGTTCTCATAATATTTGTAAACAGCAAGGCGAAGTTGACTGCTGGCCCTTGCCATGCCCAGAGGTGGATTGTGAATTCAGCGTCCTCCCCGAGAATGAGTGCTGCCCGCGCTGTGTCACTGACCCCTGCCAAGCGGACACCATTCGCAATGACATCACTAAAACCTGCCTGGATGAAACCAACGTCGTTCGCTTCACTGGATCTTCTTGGATTAAGCACGGCACAGAGTGCACCCTCTGCCAGTGCAAGGTAAAGAGCATAAAAACTAAGCAGAGACCCCTCTTTCCCAGCCTGTTCTGTGGCATATAAATATCAATGTACTGAGTCTGGTCACTGGGTAGCGGGTGTCGACACGTGTTTTAAAGCAGCGAGATGACAGTAAAAGTGTTCAACTTTGTTAACTTCACTCCTGCATGTGCTAGAAGGATGGTTTAATGTGCTAGCAGGTCAGAAGCAGGACAACAGCCTGTGCTGCTGTGTGCCGTGGGCCGGTTAGTGCGCTTGGCTTTTCCACCCGCATAGCTCAATTCAACTTTCATTGCAGTTCTTAGCATATAGCTCCATACCATCCTGGAAACGAATACAGTAACGAATAGGTATGTAAGACTACATGCAAGAAATTTGTTCTGTGCGATCTTGTAGCGGTATCAGAACCAATGGAATTGCTTTTTGAGAATAGTTATTATTTTGAGAATAAAAGGACTAGTTATATGGTTACATAGCTTTCTTGCTTTAAAATTAATAGTAGAATCAACATACTGTTTAGAACAGTTAATAGTTTCTGTAGTCAAAGGAATTCATTGTCTGAGGATAAAAATTAATGGCTATGGGCTCATGTGAATTCTGGCATCTCTTTTTAAAGATGCAAAAGAAAGGAGGTTGAAGTAAGTTTTTCCATTCAAAATAAGCCCATGAGGTGAATTGTATTTTCCGCCATCCAATACTGAAGAATGACAAAGAATGTTTCCACAGCAGTCAAGGAGAGACAGCAGGATTCATCCATAGATCTTTAATTATTACTCAAATTCACAGTTGGTTTTGTTCTTTATTCTATGTCCTTCTGAAGCACGATACTTCCCAAATGCTAGTACATGGTACAATTAGCTGCTTTGAAAAGGTGCTCATAAAAAATAATCTAACTAACTTCAACACCTCCTTCTGGGAGAGATGGGGAATAACTGGTCATGTAGCAGAAGCACCACCTTCTCCCTCCACCTTGCCTGACGCAATATTGTGTGCAACAGCAGCAGCTGCTGTCGAGCCATAGTCCTTTTATGAGGGAAGTCGTATGTGCCAGGTAAGTGTCGGCATTTGTCTTGATGTCAGAAAACGATGTGATCTGAAAGAGTGGCTAATGGTTAGAGAGCCAGCTGCTGCCCAAAGGATGTTGAAGCGGGCTTACCTGCAGAAACCTATACCTTGGGGTCCCTAGCTGGTGGCATACATCAGCTCCAATGCTAGAAGTTACTTTTTGCTTGGGCAAGTTGCTGAGGTTTCCCCATCTGTAAAAACCAAATAATTATGTGTGATTCCTCACTAAAGCACTTTTGAGATTCGGTGAGGGGAAATGTGTTCTCACCGTTGTACTGCTAATCAGGGGCAATGCAGAAGCCATGTGTCAGTTCTGCTGATGGCCACCGGTGTGCTGCTCTCACCTGCCCTTTTCTCTTAAGCAAAGACTGAACCTTAAATGTTGACTAATTTGTGTTCAGTGTAAACACTTAGATAGACTGATAAAATCCACTGCTGCATTGTGAACATAAGTAAGATTAAAACAAATACTCTCCCTATAGATTTAATGTGGCTCAGGTGTGAATCTGCGTACCAGTGAAGATGTACCTCTTTGTCCCTCAGCAAGCCAAATCTTACTCAATTCTCTTTACAGAGCAGTTTTCTTTTTGAAATACACGATCTGCTTGTATTGGCAGCATTTCAGTGTTGTAGTTCTGCATGCAAGCAGCCTGCACCCTCCAGATCAGGTTAATGCTGTGCCAAATTTGTGTAGTTCTCCCTCATTTGTCCTGTGTCACCCCACCCTTTTCTTGCAAAGCATCACGTGGAAGGTCAAAGCTCCAGTCTAAGCCTCTCTAAGCAAGCTGTAGCAAAATAGGTTTACACAAATCCTTTAAGAATTCAGAAACCTGGGCATCAGCTAAAGCTGACTTAGCCACACAGCCATTTCCAATCACAAGTAAAGAAGGTGCACAGTAGCCTGTGACAGAAGGAGTGAAAGAAAATGTTTGAATGGTTCAGACCTTGGTCTTTAATCAGGCCTGGCAGTTTAATGAACTGAATGTACTTGGAGTAATTTAAAAATAATACACACTTTTTATTTGCATTGTAAGAATCAGACTTAAGAAAAGAAGTAGTAGAGAAAACAATATCTCCGGTACCTTAATGATGTCCATAGGCAATCTGTTCCCTTAATTGCTAATATCCTCAGAAGAACTTGTGGACTATCAGGAAAAACTTTATGGATTAATGTTTGCTGGTGTTACAACCAGGATGTATTGGGACTAAACAAAACCTGGAGTCCCTTCTGCCTGATATAAATAAAGCTCCCAAGTGCCCTGTCTTGTTCAACAGCTTTGTGTACTTGAGCAGATGCCCGATACCTTTATGTTGGGAGCATTTCTTCCACTGATCCCAGCTTCTTTCAGTTTGGCCGTTGTAGCTCTGGGATACAGTCAACGGCAAACCAAGTACTTAGAGGAATCATAATAGCCCGTTCCCTTGGGGAAGGGAAGGACATGACGACAATGTCAGGAATCCGATCTAAATCTGTAGATGTATTTTACAATGTACGTTCAAATCTGATGGGTGTTTGCAAGCAGCTGACCCTGTTAAATTGCCTTGTTTTGCACAACGTGCTAATTGTTTCAATTTTTCTTTCTGTTTTTCCTTCCTTTAGAATGGCCACGTCTGTTGCTCAGTGGATCCACAGTGCCTTCAGGAACTGTGACACCAACAACCATCTCTCACAAGCAGTTTCTGGTTAAAGAATTTCCCTTCACAAAAAAGACCTTTAGACCAAAAAATGTACAAAATTAAAACTAAAATTAGATTGGTTTTGTCCATCTAAAGTGCAGATATGTGATGAACTCAGTTACCTGAATCAGAGTGAAATTTATGGGACTCAAGACAAGCTCAGATGTGTAAACCTTTGTATGAGGTTAGGCTCAAATCTTCTAGCTATTTGTCTGACATCATTATGCAGAATATTTAGGTTAGTGTAAAGTGACACATTGTAATGCTGTACATAACGATGTCAAGATCTAGAACCAACTAGGAGCTCTTACAGGGTCTTCTGAAGCTTTGAGAGTCCAACACTTGACCAGATGCAGAGATTTTTACCTAATCATATTTGGATCTACACAAATGTGTTTGATTGCTCACTGCAGAATTTAGCAGATGTTTAAGTAAAAGGATGAAGCCTTCAGGAATAAAGAACCTAGCAGCTAAGATGTGATATGTACAGTATGTGCGCTGAAAAAAAAAAAAAGATAGAAGTTATTGTAAAAACAAAAAAAAAAAAACCAAAAAAGAAAAACCGTGATGCACAGGCATGGCTTCTTAATGTTTTCTGATGGGAAAAGTCATCAATATTTCCTTGTTTTACTGCACTTACTATTATTTCTTGATTGAATTTGTTCAGTATAAGCTCGTTATTGTGCAAATTTAAATAAATATTTCTCTTACCTTAAGTTTCTGTTTGTGCCGTCTTGCCTTTCCAGGGATGTCATTCTCATGCGCATGGTTACTGTTCCTTCTTTGCAAGGCTGCAAGCCTGCCTAGGCAGCTGGGTAATGTAGGTGGAGCATCTTCAGCCTAGCTCCTCTATGTATGGGAGTTTCTGCCCAGCGCAACGTTAGGCCTATTGTTTCTTATCTTTGTTATTCTGGGAATGCATAAATAACTTCATACATCTGAGCCACTACAGTGGATTGAACAGAACAATTCATGTGCCTAAAGATCAAACTCCACGTGCCAGCAGGATGCTGGCACCCAGAGTGGGTACAGACCATTTGTGTGTGACTTGCATCTGTTCAGATTTACAGGGGATCTTCTCCAGATTCCTCCTCTCTCCAGCTGCCCTGGGATGGTTTGTCTTTCTATAAGCTCCACAGCTGTTCTAGTTGTTTGTGTAAAGTGTCTTAATGCATGAGGATCACTTCAATATACAAACCCTATTTTCACTACCGTACTGTTGGCACAATAAATAAAAGAGGCTATGTGATCAATGCTATGACCATAGAATCATAGAATCCTAGGTTGGAAGGGACCTCAAGGATCATCTAGTCCAACCTTAATGATATTCTGGGAGAGAAATAAAGAATAAAGCCGTGCTTACAAATTACAGGCTGAAAAGGCTGAATTTGTAAGGAATGCATCACGAACAGTGGGGGCACAACAGGAGAGGAAGAACTGCCCAAGATGACAGCATCCTTTAAATACTGCTCCAGTACTCATAGTTCTTTTCAAAGCACCTTGCTTCTCTTCAGCAGCTCTCTTACCTGCTCAGTAGATCCTCATGCAACCCAGACAGGCAAAACTTCCATATTAATGGAATTACCCCCGTGTATTATTAAGTTACAGGGGAAGGCCTTGTATATGTTTTTTACAAGACAGAATTATTTTCCCACAAACAGATGCTACTTCATGGTGTTTCATGTACAGCAGGAGATCAAAGGAATGCCATGCAACCGCATGGATCTGGTAGGCGTTCCCTTGAGCACTAGTGTCTGCTGAGCACTGGACGTTTTTGGAGCAGGGAATACAAGACATGCTAGGCCACTGAATGCAAATAATACAAACAAAGCCAAGAAACTAAAAAACTCAAAAAAAAAAAAGCAAAAAAACCTCACCCCGAATTGATAGTCTACATTGGACCATTGAAGCTATGAAGATTTTCAGACCAAATAAACCTTTTTCCTCACCTACTCCCTAAATAACAGGTACTCAAGGGTTTTACTGTATTGTTCCGTTCCTGGCAAGCTGCAATCAAAGTTTTTGAAGAGAAGTGTTAGCTCCTTGAAAAAGAAGCTGCTTTCTGTACAGTGCTTTCTTGCCTGCCAGTAATTGTCAGGAGGTCATGTTTTCCCCTCGGACGCAGAGGCATGTCTCCAGCGGAATTCAGTGACGGCTGCGTGCCTCTTTCCCAGAGAAGGTTTAGCAGAAGGTGTTACTGTGTAAGAATTGCACTTCGGTTTCATTCAGGAATAGGTATAAGATAGACCCAGGAAATGCATGAAGACCAGACTTCTTTTTTTGAAAAGATCTAATATTTTTCAAGGGCAGAGTCCTTGGGCTCTGTCAGAGGCTGTAGAAAGGTCTGCAGGAAAGCAGTGGAGCTGGTAGAGAGAAGGGCAGGTATCCACAGAACAGTTGTAAATATCCCTATTTTGGTCCGTGGGTAGATGAGTTACAGGTGAGGGAAGTGTCCCCGCCCTTAGTCTGGTTCAGTGCATCCACTGACATCAGATTTAGACCTATAACACATGACAAGAACTGGAAGGAAATTTATCTCCAAATTTTTTCTCAATCCTTTCTCAAAGGCAGAGTAATACTGGTGTTCAATCCTGGCTTTTAATCAAGACTAAAATGGTGTGTAGATGGAAAACAAGCATCTCTTTCCTTTTGTCACCTACCCTGACCTGAGTGTTGTAGGATCTTTCTGCTATTGTAGGTTCATGAAGCACAGTGCAATACGCTCTGAAACAGGCTAAAAAGCCAAGAATTGAGACATAACGTAATAGCTAAACCTTGAATCGAATCCTTGGTGAGACAGTCAGTGTTACAGGTATGTAAAGAGCAGAAGTCGTACTGCTGAACAAAGCTGGAATTCTCTGCTAAATAAAAAATGAGAGTGGGTTGAGTGAATATTATCTAATTTATCAATGTTCAAGGTTACTGATCAGTTGGGAGTTCTTCTAAAGGTCAGCAAACTCCAATGAGACATCTCGGTGACCCTCATTTTCTTCCCTTTCACCCCCACCTCCCCATCTCCCTCCTGTTCAGTCAAGCCAGTAATTAGTAGCTCATGTTTTTAATTTTCCTTGAAAAGTAAATTTAAATATTATTAAAAATTGATGTCTAATTTCCAGGCCTAAATTATCTGTCAGACAATATAGTCCATAAAAAAAAAAAATTGTGTTTCTGAACGATGCAGGTACGTTGTGCTCGCTTACTGGCCTTTCATTATTGATGCACTGTTTGCAGTGTTTGCAGTACCAGAATTCAATAACTTCCATAAAGGAATTGTCACCTCTCTGCAGAGTAATTGCCCTAAGTTAATAGACCTACAGATATAAGGCAGAGATGTCTTCAGTCACAATGCTGCTGCATTCAATGCTATGGTGAAACAAGTTGCCAAAAAGCAGCAGCTTTGTAAACAGTGGAAAAGAGAGAGAACTGTGCTGATGCAGATTTCTGGTACTTCACAAATTGACCATAGGCAAGAACAGGGGGGGCTGGCTGCCTCAGTCCTCCTTACAGCTACACACGGCTTTGCCTTTGACAGCACAACTGGTGAAACATGGTCATGAAGTCAGAGCTGAAATACTAGGCATTGCTTTTTTATAGGCTGCCTAAAAGTGCTATTTTTGCAGGGAGTGCTGTAAAACAGCCCTCCTTCAGTGCCAGCACAGGGTCTTGCCAATTAACTGCTTTGGGCTACAGCAGATTCACCCTGGGGCACCTCAGAGGAGCACAACCCTATGAGCCACAGAGCCCAGACCTTGGACCCTGCCGACTTATGGTGCCCAGTGACAGGACAAGGGGCAATGGGCACAAATTGAAGCATAAGAGGTTTCAGTTGAATATGAGGAAAAACAACTTTTCTTTGAGGGTGACGGAGCACTGGAACAGGCTGCCCAGGGGGGTTGTGGAGTCTCCTTCTCTGGAGATATTCAAAGCCTGCCTGGATGAAGTCCTGTGTAACATGGTCTAGGAGAACCTGCTTTAGCAGGGGGGTTGGACTAGATGATCTCCTGAGGTCCTTTCCAACTCTTGCAATTCTGTGATTCTGTGATTTCAAACGCAGGATGTGTATGGGGTGGCATCTCCTCCATAGTCACGGTGAGTCTCACCTCCCATGGGTCGCCTGCATCCCCTCCGTGGGGAAGTGCCCCTCTGCAGGGCAGGGTGCCTGGGTCTCCTGCAGGGCGCACGGCTCCCGCTGCAACGCGGCGACGGTGCTCAGCTCACATGCCCTCCCAACAGACGGGGACTCCCTTCATTGCTCAGATAAAAATAGCAGCAGCTTTGAAGTAGGGCTCAGCTAGTTATTTTTTAATGATGAAACTTACTTACAGGCAAATGCAGTTTAGCTTGTCCCCAAACCAGTTAATAATTTAAATTAAAAATCACCAGATAGCTTTTGCCAGCTATATAAAGAAAATCCGAGTAAGAAGGCGAGAGCAGCTCTGGTATCTCCTGAGTGGGTGACCTGTGGATGAGCGTCTCTTCTGAAGTGCGCCGGTGAAGCCCGCTGCAGTCGCGTCTTCTGCCCAAGTCATGGCCGTATTCGCCAAGTCACAGTCCTGGCCATCTCTTCTGTTGCTATTTTAATTTCTAATTAAAAATTGAAAACTTCTTGTTGCATCAGCATAGTGGCCAGGTCTCTGTCCTGGGAGAAAATGCAATGTGTACTGCTGGATTTTTGAGTAAGAAGCAGCATTTTAGTGAGGACCTGAAAAGAAAAAGATGGTGTTGCCAACCCCATTTCTCAGCTATCTGTGCCCTGGCTGTTCATCAGCCATGTGAACAGCCACTAGCATGTCAGTGTATTTTACTTTTTTGGGGTTTTTTTTGTCACTATGGTGCTAATGCAAAATGATAAAAATACAAAAAAAATCAATTGTTAAAATCAATTACTCATCTAGGTCTGCACTAATCGGTATTTTCTTATTGCCAGAGCTTACACAGTCTGTAAAATGCCAAATAGGCATTGTTTACTATAAC